GCATTGGTTTCGTGACTTAAAAAGTACACAATTTGAACCCTTTTTTATTGTTTTTAAACGCAAATACACTGACACATAACATTCTAAGCTATAGTAAATTTGTATAATCACTCGATAAAACACGGACGCACTCGAAAAAGCCCGGACTGCTCTCGAAAAAACCCGACACATAGAAATGAATTCAGTCTCAAAATGTCGTTTTCAATGCAACAACAAAAATTTTTGTAAAGTGTCTGTATATCTAAGGATATATGGATTCCATGTATGCATTTCCATCGACATTTGCATTGGTATGTGTATAAAAATGGCTTTATTCTGTTTTTGGAATAAAAGCATTGTAAGGCTAAATTCAACTTTTTTTAACGAAAAATAATGTCGGATTGATAATATCTTTTTATCTCAAATACTAACACACCTTGTATATCCTTGTATATAAAACTTAAGCTTCTATATCACGTCTTGTTAGAAAGGACGTCTGTTTGTTTACATTTTTTATCATATTCACTCGAAAAAAAGTGGTCACACTCGAAAAAACCCGATCAAATCACTCGAAAAACCACGATCCTAGCCGGACACTATACCTACCGTGAGTTTGAATGTACCTTTGTTATATTTCACCTCTCTTTCACAGTAAACCAGTTAAAAATTAGTTTGACGTAATTAATAATGTGATCATGTTAAAGATGTTCTCATCTATGTACCTTTTTTATTACCTTTTCATGAGAATTTTTCACGAGTAAACTAGATAAAATCACTAGTCAGGAGCTTGTAGTTCAGTGGTTGTCGTTGGTTTTTATCTGTCATAGTTGTTTTTCGTATATTGTTTTGTTACTAATTAGGCCGCAAGTTTTCTCAATTAAATTGTTTCGTGTTTTTCATGTCGGGGCCTTTTATAGCCGACTATACGAAATGGTTTTTTTTTCATTGTTGAAGGCCGTATGGTTGCCTATAATTGCTTACATCTACTTCATTTGACCTTGTGTGGATAGTTGTCTAATTGTCAATCATACAACATCTCCTTATTTTTATATAGAATTAACTTAAATGTACATTACAAAGCATGAACGAAAATTTTTCTGTCAACTTCTGTAGATTTAAGGTTGTCATGATTACGAGATTTAAAAAAAAGCAAACTACAACAGTGTAACCATAGGCGAAAACAAAATTTGCTGTTCGGGTTATTTTAGCAACACATGGTATTGCACCTATAAGAAGTATTTTCAAAGAGAACGAAATGATCCGTTGTCACTGGAACATGGAAAGCAACCGAATTTTTGCGAAAATTTGTATATTTCAAAGGAAAGGTATTATTTCTTGTGCCAGAAGCAGCTAGAAGTCCATCTTCAGACAAATTTAAACGGTAACAAATTACATCACAGTCGTGACAAACGGCACACATATAATGAAGCAATCATAGTTCTTTAAACTATACAATTTTAAGATTGAAATTTCATTCAAAAATTGTAAACACGAGAAACTTATGATTTAGGTATATAATTTCACATCAATTCATTTTCATAAATATTTGATTTTTATTACTTTTTAGGTTTTCTCACTGAAAGAAAACTGAGAACTTAAATAATTGCATAATGTATTGTAACTCAGAAATGTTATAATTTAAATATTTGTTCATGTCATTCATTGATCAAATAGTTAAAATTTAATAAGTTTACAATGTAGGACAATATTTAACTTTTCTGAAAGTAAAACAATGTAGACAAGCCTTCTTTTTTTCTAATGAAAGCAGATTGCATACATATTTCTAAGTAGTTTTATATGCACATTTATTAGAAATACTACTCCTTTGTTATTTGTTTTCTCTCTATCCAAACATAATCTCTTCTAGATATGTTTCCGGAAAATTGATATCATACTAATACTGAGTGACCGATGTTATTGACTGTCCTTAGTGAAAGGGACACATTAAATTCAAAGTTTACTCCTCTGCATGTGTCAGTATAATAGCAAGCACTTTCTAACTATCTCATTGCTATTTCATTCCATCCGTTGAAATGACAATAATTTACATCCCTTTTACTTACCATACTTGATAGTTATGTAATAACATAAAAGGATGAATTATTCAAAAATGGAGATTTCTTCTGCTTCAGGTACAATTTAATACTTATATATCTAAAATTCCTTCTTTTTGAAAAGCACAACTTAAAATGCTTTTATAGTTCTATTCTCATGTTTTCATTTATAAAGATTAAACAAACAATAGTACTAATGATATTTTTTCTTTTGCTCTTTCCATTGGACGAGAATTAGTGAGTATGTTGTAAGCAATAGCTCATTTACTCCATGTATCAATTAAGTATTATTTGATTTATATTAGTAACGTCTAAAATATACGTCCTTGCAGGGTTCCGATCAGTCGTGTATCATTTTGGTATTCGATACTAGATACTACCAAGCGATAATCGAGTACTCAAGTACTCGTTGTCAACCCCACTATTTATGTTAAATTAAGTACGATAGAGACGAGGTGGAAAACTTTCATTTTCATATTAAGAATGATTTTTTATAGTTAACAGACAATTCATTAATTAATGTCTGAATTTCTTACGGTATTGTAAAAAAATCTTTATAGTCGACCTTTTTGGGATATTTTATTACTATAACCTATAAAGGAATAAAACTGCAATAAGAAGACCATAATTTCAACCCAATCGCATTACCCATAACTTGACAGTTTTTAAGGGGAATCACTTTTGTTCAGTATTAATGTATTTACTAAGTTTAAGTTGTTTACAGTTTTCAATAAATGAACTATTGAAATTGAAAATACATTAATATATAATCGCCTAGTCTATGTATTATTGATTTATTACGATTAAATGGATTTATTACATTGTTCTTATCACCAAATACTTGTTGCACAGATAAATTTAGTGCTTCGAAAAGTTTGAGCTGAAGGAATAGAGTCCTGTATTGTTCACTAGAATATAAATCACGGTTGGTAAAAGTCAATATTTTTCCACTTGAGAAAAAAAATCAGTATAGATATTTATAGTCAACAGTAGGTTTACGTGAATCAATCCGAAGTACAAAATATTGAACTGAATATTGTATGAAACCTTTCAAGAATTTATTAATTTTAGTCCGTTTTTGGCTTAAAGAATGCGTGATCACCGGTTTAATGATAATAGTTCTGACAACAGTTATTCTATATAAAACACTTTAACCAGCCTGACCATTTACTTGGTTCAATGATAGTCAACTTAAGGAGAAGACGAATGCAGTTGAGGACTACGCCAAAAAATTGAAAAAACCCGATCCAGATGAACCAAAACTGCACACTTTATCTACATGGAAAAAAGCTTTTCGGTCATGTATTCAGAAACGCTTTCAAATCTACAATGTCCTATAAGCACACGGGTTTTTTTATCCCTTCAAGAAGCCCGAGCTTATGGATGCTTTATCCTCTCTTCACGACAAATACCCCTGCATTATTTACGACAGAGAAGATTATAAAAAATTACGAATCCTTCTCTACTATGTTATGGCAAAAAACGAAAAACGATCAAAAGACAACAATATATAAAACACATAATAGTAAACCAATAACTGAGCAAAACAAACCCTACCAAAAACAGGGGTAATCTCATGTGCTCCACTTAAGATACCCGTCATGTTACTCCTATAAAATACGTTGATAAGTTATTTCAAGTTCCGGAAGGGTAAGCAGATCCTGTTCCACACGTGGCACCCGTCGTGTTGCTCGTGTAAATACAAACCGGGTGCTAAGTCTAATTCGGCAGGTCACATTCCAGGAATAGAGGACTGTGATTGTGGTACGACAATTGGAACATATCCGTCGTCATCTGTGAAACAGATATATCATAATGGTAAACCAACTCGTGATGGCGTCCGTAATATTTTTAAAGGCATGATTTCAACTTCACCACTTGGAACTCTTGGTTTAATAGCTTCCTTGTAAGCAGCAATCCTCAAGAAAATCAGGATAGAAAATGCAAGCTCTGCAATATCGTATCAACTGGGAGCTATATACTTCATATGCAGGCGCTGCTGGACTTTTACTACTAAGAAATGGAATGTTCACAATTGGGAATCTGAAATCATCTCTTTTGTCGTAAAGTGTTACGCTCAACCGATCCACATTGTCAATTTCTAGATGTAAACCAAGATATGAGGCAGACTTAACTGTATCTGTTGTATCCTTTATTGCAAGTTCTATGTGGATAATGTGTTCAATATAATCACGTAACTTTAGAATGACAAACTAAACAATTTGGACAATTGAAGGGTAGTTTTCATCGTTAGAAATGAGTCATCGTTCCAGATTCTGTGTGTTAGAATATAATGAAATTTAGTGATAAAATTTCACGGGCGCTTTTCTAACCGAACTTGAAAAGAATTTCTTCATTTCTTTCATATTCATAAATAAAACAATACCAGAGTTTTCTTTTTACACGAAATTTTAACAAGGTTAAAAATAAAAATGTGATGTGATAGTTCATGATATTCAACAAAACATATACTGTGTGAGAAACATTATAAAGCAATTAAAATCATAAGTTAAAATCAGGTATTTGGTTTTTTTTAGGCTGATAAGAGAAATGATGGATAGCGAAATATGTAGCAAATTATATATAAAATAATATATATAATATACATGTAATATTATATATGTTTGAAATGTATTCTAGTAAGAAAAAAGTTCGATTTGATTCACAAGATAAATGAAAACTAAAAAAGACACTATGATGGTTTTGTTTGATTTGGCTTCTAAATCGGTTTATGAGATTTGAACATCGGTAAGTTACTGTTGCCTATATTGAACTACTATTTCAAAATAAATATATAGCAGATATTAATGTCCATGTTTTATGCCGTGTCTTTTCATCTGTCATTCATCCTAATACATATGACAAGACCAAGTTACAACATACAATGTGGGGGACAGATTGTGGTATTGTCAAAATTCTCAGGATATACAAATTAATTCTGATATAAACAAACTAAAATATGCTTACCATTTAGAAAAATCTATCTCGTGTCCCGCTTGATCTGCAAAAAATTAAAAGTACATGTAGCACATGTCACATAGTAAGCAATTTGAATTTAATTTTGAAGGTTTATATTTATGATATGAGATCATAGCATAGGTCTCATATTATTGTCCAGTCCAACACAAGACTGCAAAAGATAGGCGAAAGATACCAAAGGACGTTCAACCTCATAAGTCGGGGAAAAACCCTGAAAGTTACGACAACCAGTGTGGGGACTTCATGAATCAATTGACGGTCATTTCTTTTCATACTTTATTGATATTTCCTGAAATGTTGACTATCATTGGACATTGGTAACAATGTTGCGAAATCACAGTCGAACCTTCTGGGGAATTTCAAATGTCTTATTTTGAACATTTACGAGTATTGCATTAGGATCAGTTCCATATTTGAAGAGGTAACACCGTCAATTGTTGATGTGACGATCACAAATATTCTTTTTAATAGCTCCAATTTGCATCGAAATTAAAACTTTATTTCCGACCGTCAAATCTCTAATTGACAAGGCAAATAAAATTTGTATCACAGCAGCTATTTATTGTATGATTCTGTGTCGTCCACAGTCTTAATTTCGTTATTTATTTCAACAAAAATATGGTGCAAGGGTGACAGCTTTCCCTTTCAGATCACCTGATATGGTAATACTACGACTTCAGAAGGATTCGTCCTATACAAATTAATTCTGTTTCTGATTTTGTTAGTTATTGAGTCTTTGTTTCTTATCTCGTTTACAAAATATGATTTCTTTTTGTTACAAACAACATTCAAGAGGGGATTCTGTAGCAGGCTATGGTGCACAACTTTAAATTTATCATGAACAGCATCGAATAATATCTATACTGTTGTTCTAGTAAAATTTAAAACATTTTAAGCTTTCAAACTGAAGTTTTACGATTTTGGAATATTAAATATATTGCATATTGCCTTTTTAACTGGCGCTCCATTAATACAATAGTAAAGAGTACTTGAGGAAAATACATGAACTATTTGCCAATGGATGTTAAACAAGCAACAAAATCAATCTTGCCAACTTTCCAATTGAAAGACTCAGCAACAGGAACAAATTTTGTAATGATAGTAACTTTTTGAAGGAATTGTAGGGATTTTCATAACTGTTAAGATACGTGTAACTTATAAGAAAAGAATAAGTTAGCAATAAATGAAATGATCGGATTTGCTTGGAGACGGGCACATTGCCCCTAATAAAGGAAAGAGTTGGTGAATTTAAAGTTCTGCATAACAATAGCCCGTATATGGACCATTCGTGAACAGCGGATTTTGATCTGTGTTTCCTATTTCATCTGCCGTACCGATAGCCGATTATAGGGTGTGTTATTAGAAAGATTAATATACAGTTTTCAAAGGCTTAAATTAAACGTTTTACTGCAACTTAATTTTTTTAGCTTCACGAGTTCTTATGAAAATTCTAGTTTTACCTTGAGGTGTTCATCACATCAAATATTTTAATATATATATATATATTAGATAATGTTGAAATAATTGTTTATTTCCCTCTAATTTTCGACATTGTCTAAGCTTAAACAAATATTTCCCTTTTATTACCATTAAAATACACAACCTTTTCCCCCTTATTATTATTATTATTATTATTATTATTATTATTATTATTATTATTATTATTATTATTATTATTATGAAGATTGGTAAAATCTAGTAATCCAAGAACTTCCATATTTCATGTGTATTTTTGTTTAAATTATTAAGTTTATCGCTTTGAAAAAAAATGTGACTTTACACATGTTCAAATCATAACCAATAGACAAAGGGTAATTTGTAAATCGAATGCAAAAGAAAAATCATCAAAAATTTATGCTCGTCTATATTATCACTTTTCCATTTTTCAGATGGGTAGTCGATTTTGAAACTTAGGATTTCAGTAGAATAGCACGAGAATTGTTTTTAAACTACGGCACATAACATACTTTCCTACAGAACTAACTAAGATCAGTTATGTTTTGTCTGACGTAAAGGATGATAATGTTACTTACCTTGCCGTCACATCAAATTTTAATTCTATTATATATATATATATATATATATATATATATATATATTGAAATACATTGTTATTTGTCCGCCTTCTACCTCGGTAAAAAAATTTCATAGGCCGATGCGGCTCTCCGAAGCACTCATACCACATCTTCTTATATCTATTTATTAAAGGATATTAAGTGAATGTACGTGAATAATAATTAAGTTTTATTATCTACAATACTACTTATTTAAATACCATGTACACGGCTATCATTCGGTATATCGAGAAAAATGATCGTGAAAGAATACCTTACGGTGGTCAAGCATTGCTATCGGATCGTGAAAGATCTGGTATCGGATCGTGAATGTAATTAATTGTAATTCTACTTCAAAATCTGTGAAAAATCTGCTGTATTTTCAAAACGCGGAACAAATCCGAAAAAAAAATATGTCTGCCAAAATTATTCAACTTTCTCAATAATACTGTGCAATAAGATTAAGAAAATATGCAGTACTTTATGAGAAAACACAAAAGGCGCAACACAAGTCTATGGGATTTGGATTTTTTTGATTTTTCATCAAAATTGATCGTAAAAGATCGGGCAACGCATTATCTTGATCGTGAAAGACAAGGCGTGACCGGACGGACGCAGGGCGTTTGCGCTTTAATACCTGTAACACTAAAGGACATTTGCGCTTCAAACATTATGGACATTTGCGCTTTAAACTTTGATACACCTGTACAAAATTGACAAGACATTTGCGCTTTTTACCTGTAATCTTTAGAAAAACCAAAGTCATGGAAAGATGTTCACATATTCTTTGAAAGTTCTTCCGAACAAACGACAAAATCAGAAAAAAATATTTGGGTAAACCAGAAATATTAAAAAAGATATAGTATATGTTTCTGGGTAAACGATAGAGAAAATAAAACTTTTATGTATGGAACATTTAAATTTTGACCGAAATTCTTCAATTAGCTTTCTAGTAAGTGGATTGAAAATTGGGAACTATATTCTTAGATTTCATAATGTGTGATTCACAAACATTATACAAAAAAAAAAGATATACATGTATCATCACGATTATTAATTTATAGTGTAGGGAAATATTGTGTATTCTCAGATGAATAATTTAACTTGTGCAATACATATACACGTCGGCATACAATAGATTAGTAGAAAACTTATAAAAAAAAATTGTATACTCATCAAATTTTAATAAATAAGTTAAATCCTGTTTATAATAAGAATATTTAGACACATTCGAGGTCATCCGATAGCGCACATGTTTGCTGAATCAGCACTGTGCCCAAATTTTCAATGGAACACGGATCATATGATCATATCGATAACGGAATGGATTCCGGAAAAGTTATGTATAAAAAAAGGAAAGAAAAAACAAAAGATCTGTATGTGTATTCACAATGATTTATTAAATATATTTGTGAAATTAATTACATTATAGATACTAATATTATGAATAAGTTATATCTTACCAAATAGTGCTTCCCTAAACTATTAGGTAAACTAACATGAGGGATACTAAGTTATAAGCTATAAACTTTGTAGGTTGTTACAGCAAATATGCACTAAAGATATTGTTACGATAAAAAAAAAGGAAACTATATTCCTATTGTGTCTATTCTGTTGCATGAATAGTGCGAGGAACTGTACCATCATAGTTTATCTAAGCTTGTTTAAATTTGTGAAGACCGAATTTTTATTTTTAAACCACCTGCTGTACCTGTAGACTTTTAGAAAGAGTCATGGTTGTTATAAGGACTTTACTCCCATCCACCCTCTTGGAGGGTTGTCGTTTTCATCTGACACAAGCATGATAGGGAAAGGTTGATGCTTTTAGCATATTTAGCTGTATATAAATGAAGGTTTTGTGTTTTTTTTTATATTAAATGTTTTATTATGTTATGTTGATTAAGCGCAAATGTCCTTTTTTTAAAAAGCGCAAGTGTCCTAAAAATTAAAGCGCATATGTCCAATAAAAAAAGCGCAAATGTCCTACCAAAAAGCGCAAACGTTCCTCGCCGGACCAGACGTAATAATTAGAAAACAATATTTCTTTTACCAATTGATATACTTGCAACTATAGTAGAAGTGTGCAATTATTTAATAAGAACGAACATGTATGCTTTCATTTTTTTTCACTTTTTTTTTTATTTCATCACTTTTCCTTAAAAGTTTTTAAGATAACTAAAACGTGTCTATATAAGCAGATTTACAAGATGAAAGGACCTTCAGGAGCGTAAATTGTCGAAAAGTAAAAGTATATATATATATCTATAATGCTTAATGCATCCCCCCTGGAAATATATGCATATATGCATGTGTACGTATTTTTTTTTGTGTGTATAGGTTGTTTCTTTTAGTAATATGGAGTGTCCTTCGTGAGTACATATTATGACAATATTAGCTAATTTATTGTTTATTTCGTGGATACGCTGACATAAACTAAAAAGGTACCAAGATAACGGTATTTTTACTTGAATGTTTGATCGGTCTGTTCAGCTGTACGTCATTTTACCAAACTTAGTTGGGAAATTACCAATCAACGTACATCGATTGTGCATGATGCCCAGCTTGAACTGTAATTTAGCCGATTAAGTTCTATTCTCAATCTTAAATTTGTATAAGAAATCAAAACTTATGTAGGACGGACAAATAGACTGATATTGCTATAAGGCACATAGTGTGGTATTATAAGATAATCAGATTCATTAATCAAAGATCAATTGAACGATAATAGCCCTATTCACCAACAAAAGAGAACCGAAATGAGTCATGCAAATCCAGTATTTGCTATACCAATTAAAAATATAAATTATCCTATAATTAAATAATGATTTGAACGTTTGCGTAGCAACAGATCTTTCACGATCCTTTTCACGATCTTCAAAAAGCGATACACGATCTTTCACGATCCGACAAATCATTTTTTTTGTAAATATTTCTTTTTTTGCAAAAATTCTGATTATGCTACACAAAGTAACTTTAAGAACCATTTGAATCATTAAAATCGAATGACATTTTACAAAGAAAAGTTGTTTAGTAATTCGAATTATCAAAAACATCTTGTTTGTTTACATAACTAATGTCATTGAAATGTCGAAGAGCAATCTGCCTTTTGTAGTTTTGTAAAAACGGTATACTTTTAAACCTTGATTTTTCTCAGATTCTGATCATAATATTGAACCATTTTGACAGACAGTTTTTTTTTTTGTCATTTGCCCGTATAATTCATTAAATTAGATTAGTAATTGACCTTGTATATGTCTTCTCGATAAGATTTCCTTCACTATCCTATAAAGGCAACAGTAGTATACCGCTGTTCGAAAACTCATAAATCGATAGAGATAAAAACAAATCCGGGTTACAAACTAAAACTGAGGGAAACGCATCAAATATAAGAGGAGAACAACGACACAACAAAAACACAACATTAAAACGTAACACACACAGAAACGAACTATAATATAACAATGGCCATTTTCCTGACTTGGTACAGGACATTTTAAGAAAAAAGTGGTGGGTTGAACCTGGTTTTGTGGCATGCCAAACCTCCCGCTTTTATGGCAACGTCAAACACAACACCAAAACGACAACATCACATGACAGGACCACAATACAAATAAATGGGAGAACATATAGGACAAAGAAACACACGAATAATAGCTAACAAAAGGTACTAGGCTTAAAATTCAATACGCCAGACGCGCGTCTCGTCCACAAAAGACGAACCAGTGACGCTCAGATGAAAAAAGTTTGAAAGCCAAAACAAGTACAAAGCTGAAGAGCACCGAGGACCAAAACTTCCAAAAAGTTGCGCCCAACACGGCCAGGGTTTTCTGCCTGGGACAAGAACATCCTTATCATTTAGAATAATTTATAATTTTGCAAACAGTAAATTTTATAAAATGACTATATAATAGATATACATGATAAAACCAAAGTGGGGACTAACTACAGAATAAAAACGGATACATTACATAAAACAACTTTATCCAACACATAAAAAAATATACCAGAGCTTTCACTATCCAATCGCAATACTTGACCACCGTTAGGTATTCTTTCACGATCATTTTTCTCGATATACCGAATGACACCCGTGTAAATTTCATAAGGTAAACTACGCTACCTGCATCTTCGGATCTTCTGAAGTTAAAGTTGTATACTTTTAGAAGTATTTCTTGATAATCTGGCTTGCTTTCAACGACTGTGTAACTGATCTGAATAAAAAATACAAACTTTGGTATGTTTGTTATACTTAAGTATTTGTAACTAAATGAAAAGTTAAAGTTAAGCATAATTTATTATTGGTTCTTACTATTAATATAATATGAATTTTCTAAAAACGAGTTTCCGATTTAATAAACAACTAAATACTTACCTTGGACTTTATTTGAAAATTTCCAACATTTTTAAAGTCAATATCTGTTTGTAGCTTGTACAAATATTCATAATTTTCTTTAAAACGTATAAATTTTAGATGAATATTATCAATAAATGACCAAACAAGTATAATTTGAAACATGCACTTCATCGTGTTGCTGAAGCAATCTAATCTTTTCCGTTAAGATCAACAGATTACCTTTATTGCGCATACAAACAATTTATCTAACCATTCACAATATTCTTTTATTGAATCTACCAATAGCGGTAAACTTCGTCGAAACATGGAAATAAGATTTTTTAAAACTGCAGAACTGTAACGCTCAAACTTTATAAAGAAATAAAATAATTATTAATACATAAAACCTCTCAGATGCATTCAGTACATTTCCGATCGTCGGATTACAAATGTAGATCAGTGATTGAAAAAAGTAAGTTATTGTTATTAGTTATCTTTTAATAGTACTAAATGGGTAACATTGTAGCATTGTATTATTCGTAATTACATTATAGTAAGCATCAGATTTAAACTACAAAAAAACTTTTTCTTTGTAATAATAGTAACACTTGTAAAACTGATGAACGAAACAACAGCATAACTCACACGAATCGACCGAGTTTGATGCAATATACATGTTAATGATATACGTGTGTGAGAGAGAGAGAGAGAGAGAGAGAGAGAGAGAGAGAGAGAGAGCTTAATAAATCATTTTTCAGCCGATACCTCGTTTACTCCATTTTTTATAATAGGTACAAAAACAAACATATTTATTTGAGATGTAAAATTCAAACCGTGTATATATATGTACATGATATGATAATTGTTGTCTCTATTTGTATGCAATGAACTTTAATTTCTATTTTAATTCTATTTTAATCGGTTTTAAAGAAAAAATTCTACATTTTTAGAATATTTCCATAATGAAGACGACAATAACCTATCTTTTGTGTGGATTATTACTGACGACTGCATCTAAGTTTTGTGATCCTAACGGGTAATAAGTTATGAAAAGGAGAAAAACAGATATGTATATTATATTTAACTCATGTTTAATCTATAGTTGCTACTCGAACATTCCAGTGCATTCGTAGGACCAACACACATCTCTAGTACCCGGACCGGAGAGTAAACTAGAGCGCGTACTTTTTGGGCCTCGGTTGGTCAAATTGGCCTTCGACTTTAACCTGGAGATTATTATGCAGGTTTTGTCTGTTCCCGCCGTGGAGTCTGGCTGTTCTCTCCGAGTACTTCGGCTTCCTTTGCCATAATAACAGACTTCCCGGTGTCCTAACACTTCCGTGGTGTTTGTTTATGATTTGTCCATTTTGATGGGTTGTATATTTAGTGACTTATCTCCATAAATCCTGAAAGGGAGTGTACGCGGATTCCACTGTACCCTCGAAGCTCTCGAGGGGTGCTTCGAATACTGGAGGAATCTGCAGGGTTAAACTACTTGTTTAAGATCCTTCCCTATCCTAAATTTTATATCTTGATGTATGAACGTCCATAAAATCAATAAGTTTTTGGAGAATTTATATAAGGGTTTATACCCTTTTGATTTTGTGTGCTCTCAAGCGTTTTATATTTTTTGTCTTCCTAATTCTTGATCTCGAGTTAACCTACTGAACATTAGTAGGGCTCATGGATATCAATCTTATACGGTTTTTTAAGTAATTTAGTTTTTAAATTGATGATAATATAAGGTTTCAACTCCCTCGAAAAAAAAAATGTTGACCTTAAACTGGTTTGACTGTTCTGTTTATACCTTTTGTTTTATATGAAATTTTTAAAAAATTCTGGTTGGGTTAGTATCCCGAGCCTACCTGGTAAATGATATTTCAAAAACACGAATTATACGAGCTTTAATAAATACCAAAGGTTAGTTATAAAAACTTTCGGATTTCGAAGAGAATATTTACGACGTTAGTTTTATCCGCTAAGGCTTCGAAACATTCAACGTGGATTTTGAGTTGCTGCATTACATGCCCATGGTCGGACTCAGCATAGGAGGTTTACTACACTGTTAAAAAGACACAATTTTTATCAAAGCATGACACCACTATTTTACCACCTTTATTTTAGCATATTAATTTCTGTTGCATGACTCTTCTCAACTGAGGATTAAAATGTAAAATACTGCTGTTATGTTTGCTCGGCCAAAAATCGTATGCATGTACCCTACGGCATATCTTTAATTAAATCAGTATTTTGTATACTGAAAATTTAGATGTACCTATATGGAAACGTACACATTTTTCTTTATTGGCCCGACTTCACCCCCAACCTAAACCATTTCACCTGGTGATAAGAATAATTAATACTCTGATACGCAGGGAGAAATACAATGATAGATGATTTTACTTAATTGTGAAATATATTCATTTTAATATTAAAAACGTAAACAATATAGTATTTGTGTTCCCTTTATTGCGATGTTTTTACTTGAGTACTCAGTAAAAGGGAAGTAACACTATTTATCATTATAAGTATTGTTCTTGGCCGAATACTTTTAAATTATCTAGTTTTTTGAAAGCTGTAACTATTTGAAGAATGCTTGGAAAAATAGGTCGGATATTATTGGTTAGTTATATTATTATTGTATTGTTCTCTGCTATCAGTCTTTTGTCACGTTGTGTTAACTAGTATATTATGCATTGTCATAGCATGCCATGTATACTTTTGAAATAAATATTCATTCATTCATTATAATTACGTCTGCCTAATGGCGGCAAAACAATTTTGCCCGGTATAAAAATGATTGAAGGAACGCGTCATACTCAATATATGTTTGTTATCTTGGTGTTATCAGGAGTGTACCGAATTTTACGACATACTTCCCTTTTATTATTATGATTTGCTTTAAATAGTTTAATTAAATTGCTATTTCTGCTATATCCTATCGCTGGTAAAAATTCGATTGTAGCTGTATCGGCCCTGTCATCGAAGGATCAAACAATATGGCAGATTAAAAGTCTATACTAGGGCCAATGCAGAATCAGCACGTTTATAACACATGTCTGGGTCTTAAAGTCGAAGGAACATTACCCTCATGTAAGAAAACGAAAAGATATATCAATATGTCTTTTCTCAAGATGTATTTTTAGCAATTGATGAAAATTCTGATTTCGTGTCGTTTAACCTAATCTATTGTTTTGCAATTCGTTTTATCTAGAAAATCTAATTTATATAAGAAAAAAGGTCAGAAATGTAATCATTATTTCACATTAACGTCTGCAACTGAAAGCAAAGTCACTGTATTTTACCGATCTACCATAGCTTTTCTGTACTGTTCCAAGGACCAAAACGCTGATATAGAATAAACAGAGGAACATAATCACCAATGCTCATGTCGACTTATGGATGGTTTGATCCCAGCAATTTACAGAAAGATGTATTATTGATGATTATCTTTCAAATATATACGTTGTTAGAATTTTGTAGCACCAAGATTCCCTTAATCATACACTTGACAACTTTCGTCAATTGAAAAGCGTATCATGATTTACATATTTTTTTCTCTGCCAAACCAAAAATAATCTTAATGATTTGTGAAAAATGAAAACAATACTTTATAAATATCATGCGTCCAAAGCCCTTTTCCTGAATTGCCTTCATCAGGAACGATGATCAAAGATGTAATTTTGAAAGCCAGGGATGTATAGAAACCGAAACAGTTGAAGAGCGTTGTGACAAAAATGGACATAAAAAATTAATAACCAAATTCATCTATGGCCAACTTAGCCAGAGAGAGTTGAAACCTTAGTTTCTTAATAATTTATAAATTTATAAACGGACAATATAAGAAAGCTTTGTTATAAATCATGTCAGTACTGAAGTACTGACTACAGAGCTGATGATACAATCGGCGACTGATAGTCCACCAGCAGCGGTACCGAAAAAAGTATAACAAAAATACCGAACTCAAAGGCAAATTCAAAACGGGGAAGTCCATAAAACTAACAAAACCAAACGCTATCAATCAACGGAACAAGTGAAAAACAACTACCATATTCCTGACTTGGAACATGCATTTTCCGAAGAAAATGGTTGGTTAAACCTTGTTTTATAGCTAGTGCTGTAAACAAATGGAAACAACACTTTATAAATTGTAAAAGTATAACACTTATAGAAAAGTTTGAAGGTTCATTGTCTTATTAGCTTGTAAAAATGTAGTTTTTTTTATGTATAAACCCAGGATTATAATTTGGTACGTCAGGCGCGTGTTTTGTCTACATAAGCATCATCAGTTATACTCCAATCAAAATAGTTGAAAGGCTATATCAAATACGAATTTAAAGAGCATTACAAACAAAAAATTTCGAGAAAGTTGTGCCAAATAGGATTAAGAAACCTATGCTTGGGGTTAAAAAACCTGAGTATTTTGAATAATTCAACATTTCATGAACAGTAGATGCACAGAAAATGAACACATCAATAATATGTCATGTAAAAATGACTCCTGGGCTGGTGATACACTAAGGGACGAAACGTCAACCCGCAGTTGTAACTTTTATTTTATTATGTTTATTTGCAAAGTACATAAACTTATTCGCCACGTCTCTTGCAAATATATAAAATAGCAATTATAACATTATAACCTTTAATTGTGCAAACCGTTCCCAAGTCACTTTGCGGCGGAAAATTTATAGTAAAATCAGTGATAATCGTTTTTTCAAAAAAATCATTATTCTTAATTTACTTTAAAACAATGACGGTGGTATTTCAAGCAATGAGGCAATAGTTCGTCCTTCCTTTGGAGTGAGTGCTGAGTGTTAGTGAAAAACATTATACACTGTGTTGATAACTCTCTTATTTTGAGGTATTTCCGCTTCAAGTGTGATCGATAACGCTTTTTATCGGACGACTGTGTTGAAGTATTTGAGAAAACTAGCACTTTGATTATGACTTCAAAAATAACATCAGGTAAAGTAATTTTCACACATAATGATTGATTGATTGTGTGTTCGTTTTTATTGCCACTTATGGCACTCTTTGCTATATCGTGGCGGCCACTTTTTATTTGTGGAGGAAACCAGAGTACACAGAAAGAACCATCGACCCTCGACAGTAAAACTGGCAATCTTAGTTCATAAGGATCGGAGTGGAACGCACTGCCAGGAGAGGGTTTGAACTCTAAACCGCAATGATGAAAGGATATTTATCGCTATTGATCAATTTATTTTGCGATAACACTATAATGAAAAGAAAATTAAGACAATTTACCGTTTTTTATCGCCCTTTTTTGGTGTTCGACATGCCGCATGTGGCGTAGGTTCCTTATCCTGTTTTCTCTTGAAATTTAATCAATTAGTAAATATCAAATAAATTGAACAATTGAATATAGTGTCAATCAATGACTCTGCATTCTTACGGAAAAAGTATGACCAGAGTAATTTTTTGGCCCACAAAAAGAACAAAATTCCTTTAAGTCCTTAAATATTATTGTATTTCAAAACATGTCAAATTAGACAAATTTAAAGTAAGATGTCGACTTTGAATAGAGGTTTTGACAAAACAAAAATATAAGCAGCAGTTTTACACAAAAAGAAATTTTTCTTGTAAAAGAACATTTGCAGTTAAACGTCATTTTTGTAAGGCTTTTACTCATATCCGATTATTTTTGGAGCTTTGCAGACTTTTTTATATGTAATAAGTGTGAAAAAGCCTAATGCAAATATGTAAATTAAAATTCAAGAATGATTACTGATACCTGACAGGCTTGTGAACATGTGACAGTTTGAATAGAAATAATTGTTGGATAATAGCAATGGGACAGCAACCAAACAAAATAAAAATCAACAGACATATAGAGGCCAGCATGTGGTCTTCAACAATAGACAAGTTCCCATGTAAGAAGTAATGCTATTATCTGCTCATGCCTAGAAAAATTACAGTGATTAAAAATACTTTCATATCATCAACGGACAGAATGAAGCTTCACCACACTTTCTGCTTTACCATAATATGTAAATACGAATTTCTTTTGAAACATTAATTTTGCCTAGTATATAACAAACAATTGCCTTCAAATTCTGTTTTACTTCTTTTTTTTTTTTTTTTTTTTAATCAATGAGTATTAGTAAAAATGAAAAAGTTCAGATTGAAATATAGTAAATCTAAGAAAAATGCACCGAAATATGACTGTTTCACTAACGCAATACTACAAATTCCTCCCATATTGTTTAGTTTTACTTAAAAGATATCATCAACCAAGTATCAAGTTTTGTTACTGTCATGGTTTACTTCATACTTCAACCAACATTTATAAATTTAGAAAAAAAACCATATGGTTACACCCGAAAGTTAACGCTTTCTGTCGTTTTGATCATATTTTGATCATTTGGTAATTTTAATTATTACAATAACGTTCATTTTGATTTTTTTCTGTCTATTATATTGTACGTTAGATTCATCTTACTTTTGGCTCTAAGGGAACACTAAAAATTAAAAGAAATATCTGTCTTCAACATATGATTTATCATTTTTGCGATTCTTAATCAACTATGTTCCATTTAGTGATCTGTACACAATTGAGGCTATCTTTATATTGAAATATTTATTTGACATCATCATTTTACAGATCATGTTATCAACAAGAGTCATATACAGTGTCTGAGAAATACAAGGCTAGATGTGGTAAAGTGTGGAAATGGTGGCGCTGCACTAAATACAAGTAATTTTAAACTGTCTTTAACATTGCTTTCTGATCCATCAGCATGTTTGTTTTTTATTTCTGTTTACCTGTTCTCCAACTTTGCTTCCTGTTTAGGGATCAAAGCCTGATTTTCAGTAAATGCAACATTTGTGTTAGCAGACTGTCCTTTTGTTCGTTTCTTGTGTGCAAGCCAACAGTTATGGATAATTTATTTCTACTCGGTGCCTTTTTTGTGCACCAAGGTAAGGCCACTGTGATGGAGTATTTTTTATAACCCAGCGTTTAAATAAATGTAAATATTATTTTGTAATATATGATATAAACGTACGACATGGTAGGGTACATTAATGTTTAAAGGATTTTTCACAATAAATCAGTCCGATTTCGCTGTCAGTTTTGACAAAATAAGCAATAATGTGATTTCAGTAGCACAGAAATTGTCGGCCGAAAATTGCCACTAAAAAATATGTTTCAACCCTCAAGATTTTATTTCGCCTTCCCCAAAACAGGAGCCAGATCAGCAGTTGTCCTTGTTTGTTACTAACTAGTGACTGTTTTACATTTATATGAATTTTATGTAAACTGCATACTAGTATGTGTTTAATTTATTCCACATTTGTTTATTCTGGAACTTATTCGTATTTGAAATATCATTTAAATGCTTAACTATAAATTATTGTTTTTTAACCTTTATGTGATATTTTTTATCTCATTTTCTCTTCTTAAAATTCAATACAGCCAGACAGAAATTACTGCCAGTATAACTTTAGTTCCAAAGCCCCTTATTCCTGAAATACGTAGTGCATCATTTTTTGAAAAGATCAAATCGATATAATGCTAACATTTTTCTTTTTTCATTTAACTTTCGGTAAAGATTTGCCCGGTTTGGGGATGTCGGATTTAAGATTTTTCTGCTCACCGTTTAAAACTTCTTAATGAAAACAACGAAATTTTGATAAACCATCGTGTATAGAAATGATATTATCAACAAGACCCCTTGCCATTTAGAAAATGCAGCGTTTAATATGATTTTGATCCTCCCTATTAATTTTCTCTGAAATGGAATAAGCAAATGTGGTTATTTTTCATATTAGGATGCTGAAGTGCTACTTGAATCTTACAACATGATATGCTACTGTGCGAACAAATGAAATAATCATACTTTACAATATTACTTATCAAACATCTAGGCGAAATATTTCAAACAAAACATTTAATTTTTCCCACAAAAATATAAGAGGAAAAAGTTGGGTTTTTTTCACATCGGCAGTTAAATTTTTTTTTATACATGAGGATTGTAAATCAGGTAACAAATGAAAGTAAACGCACATTTTGGCCTACCTAGGAAATAATTTCTTTCACCCTAAATTACGGATAAGACTCTTAAATAAATAGAAAACTGACAAATCCTACGTTGTCTCACTCATCAACCAGTCCTTATTTTGCTATCCCTTAATCACATTTATATAAACAAACTTCTCAATTATGTTTGTAAAACAAAACAGTGTACATATGTATAAACTTGTTACCACATAGACTTGCACGCATGCACGCAACGTACACATATTCTCAGCCATAAACATCTTAATTACTAGTATGTTCAAGTTGTTCACAATAAATACTAGTACATGTATATAATTGTAGATGCATTTTTTTTTTACCATTTCTTACTTTATATATAATATGCTTCTTTTTCTGACGCAGTCAGAGTAATTTCGGTTTGTGACCTATTTAAAACGGACGCTTCACTATGGTAACGGCATGCATGATGTCACAAATCTTTATTCTGATTAGACGAAATTACGGAATTGAAAAAAAAACAACAAAAAAAGATATTTGCTACAATAAAAGGAGAACATTACGGACATATAATCAATCTTAAATATGAAACTATCCAGATCAATAAAAATAAATTCAGGAAAACAAGGTGTCATTATCACCACTGTCAAATTGTTTGGATTTTGTAGGCTTAGCCTTAAATACATGAGTAGGTAAATATCACTGACCGGTTCGAGTGCTATAAATATTTCTTATCGACTAGAGCTTCTAATGCGTAATAATAATCTCAAATAATACAAAACATTATTCTTCAAATAATTTAAAAGATTGTCAAAATACATATATGGCAAATTTAATTGCTCGTCAAAAGCTGTATTGTTTAGATCATCTTCTTTTGGCGTCCGTCCGTCCCTGATATACACACTGAAAAAGGTTGTATCTCTAATTGTTAAAGTCGTTCTTGACATATAATTATAATTAACATACCTTCATGGATCTAAACTGTTTCAAGCTTGATTACAGATTGTAAACTACTAAGATCGTATGTTTATATAAATAAGAAGATGTGGTATGAGTGCCAATGAGACAACTCTCCAACCAAGTCATAATGTATAAAAAGTTAACAATTATAGGTCAAAGTACGGCCTTCAACTTGGAGCCTTGGGTCACACCGAACAACAAGCTATAAAGGGCCCCAAAATGACTAGTGTTAAACGATTCAAACAGGAAAACCAACGGTCTAATCTATATAAAAAACGAGAAACGAGAAACACCTATTATGTCTATTTCACAGCTATAGGTACTTCTTTATCTCCGAAAAATACCTATAATATGTACATTTCATTAAGTACCATGCAGTAAATTTTTTTATTATTTCGAGAAAAGGGCATATCCTCAACTTTTGGAATCGTCAGCCTTCTGTCGTCAAATTCTGTGCTATTGTTTTTAACTATATTAAAAAAAAAACTGATAAAGATTAAAGTCTATGCTCACATCTGAATGCGTCAGATATCTTTTTTTTAAAGATAGTACTTGTTTTTTAATAGGGACGTTACTAAATATAAACAAGTCTGTTGTGCAAGATACCAACAGTCCTCGTGCAGAGGTAATTTTACTTTTTTTTAAACTTACTTAATACAGTTTTGTAAATGGTCACACACCGTTCATACTAGTATTATATCGTATAGCAATATATTTTTGAAATTTAATTGGCAAATTTAAGATTTTTAGAAAATTCATTAAAAACGAATTACATTCAAATGCAATATATAAGAAACAGTGCAAAACTGATATTTGTATTTACACGAAATAAAAAAAAATATGAAAAAAGACCATGATACCAGTTCATACACTTGAAGATGCTCAGCAAAGTGTTGGATATTTTTTATATCAATTTTGCATCTTCTTTTTTGTCCTTTATTGAAAGTCAAAATCATAATATACGCGCATCAAAAGTATGCATTTTTTTTCTGCATAAGATTAAAGCGGAACATTGTTTTTCTTTTCAAGCTTTATGCAGTGATGGACAATTGACTAACTGGAATGGTGCATGCAATAAATACTATTCAAATGATAGCGTCACACACAGAGACTTTAAAGTAGAAAGAAACAGTGGTGGTACCTGCATGAAACCCAACAAGTGTGATTGTTGCAATAAAGGATTTTATGCAGATAATAATGGTTACTGTAAAAGTAAGAAGTCGAAATTTAAATCAGAAAAGATGTACTCATAACTGTGCATTTTCTTTTTTTTTCAAAAATCGTTTTACGGAAATAAAAAGCGAACAAATTACAAGGTTTATGACATTATTGACACTTTTTCAGTCGTCCAAATGCGAGTGAACTTATCCTTGCATACATGTATAATGTAGATACATACAATAAAAACCATGTCATATAGCTTTGATAACACCGAGCGTATACAGCAAACAAGCCTTCGGCTATCAAACTATGAAGACGTGATGTGAATTCTATTGAGACAACTATTAACTAGAGAGTAAATGACATGGATGTAAGCAAGTATTGGTCACCGTTATGCCTGCAACAATGACCAAAACCTATGACGTATATTAAACTATAAAAGACACCGAAATGACCAAATGGAAAAGGATTTAAAAGAGATTTATGATAAAACAATAAACAAAAATTAATGATGACAAAAAGCAACCACTGGCAACAACTGAATTACGAGCTCCTTACTTGGGAACATACACATACAAATGTGGCGGGGTAAAACATGTTTGCGAGGGCATAACGCCCCCTAACCCGGAGTAACTGCACAACATAAGAACAATCTGTAAACACCAGTTGCAAATGGCTTGACTCATCTGAGGTACACGAAACACAGAAACATCTAATAAAAGACAGAAATAAGTACCGATCTAGGAGTAAACTCGCATTTACTAAAAGCTAGTGTAATCCTTATTACAACTTATAGATAAATAATGTTTTTCGAGAGAAAAATCAATAAATAGATATAAGAAGATGTGGTATGAGTGCCAATGAGACAACTCTCTATCCAAGTCAAAATTTATAAAAGTAAACCATTATTGGTCACAGTACGGTCTATAACACGGAGCCTTGGCTCACACCGAACAGTAATAAGTACACATTACCAAAAAAAAAAAAAAATCATAGAATGAAAAAAAATGCTAGATTCAAACTTAAATGTTACACAGAGACATAAAAGTGTTATATAGCGGAAGCCAACTTATAAATATCGACAGGATTTAGGTCCATAAGCGTTCACAAATGAATAGCAATGCATATTTATGCTTTGATTTATCAATAACACAATTAATACAGGTTATGATTTATTAATTTTATCAAACCGACAAAAACAATATTCAAAGATCTTACTACACCGTTAAATTAATATATTTTTTAGAATAACTTTAGCTTATTCAAAAAATCAAAAAGTTTGTATATTCTTATTTAAGGGATCCATTTATAATGTGATATTTGTAAGTGGTTTCTACTTGTACAGCCAAAATTCTAATCCAGATTTTTATATCTTTTTAAATCTTTGGTTATTAAATCCCTGACTTATTAATTTACAATTATACGTTCATTGAAATCTAAAACACCACTACAGACAAGAGCATAGCGAACAATTTGGGAAATAAAACACCATAAGAAAGGGCCAAAGGAACATCACCGTCTGAAGGACAATTTACAATAGGGAACGAAAAATACTTGTTATAGGGTACTTTCTATATGTTCCCACTACAAACCAGTAAATGTCTGAAATGGCATAAATCTGTACTCAACTGTACTGATTTTTTACTCGACCATTCTGAATTGGTCGGAAATTTACTTGATATTACTCGACTGTAGTCTGAACCATTCTGAACAGTGTGAACTTGTCCTCGACCGTTACTTTATATTATAATATTTAAATCTCAACTTAAAATGCGTTCATAGTTAGTTCTATTTACCTGATTTCATTTATAGTAATTAGACAAACAGCAGTACTCATAATTGTTTTCTTTTGCTCTTTTCCCTTGGACATTGCCTTTAAGGATTGTACACTTCGTTAGTGCAGTTTTTAAGAGTTCACTTTCATATTTAATCTACAATGAAAAGTCATTCATGTATAACATTTTATAGTGCATGGAATGCCATGTACCATGAAAATAGAAGGGAAAATACTGCTTAGGATGTTGTTTAATTTCAATGGATGTTATTTAAAATTTATAACTCTCTGAACAGGTGTGATCTTTTTAATGAGTGTGCCCAAAGCAAAAGGCTTTACCCTTAATCAAAGGAACAATTTTAATCATTTTTTTAAATTTTTACCCCTTCTAAATATATATGACCCAAATTATAATAAGAATAGATATATTTCTTGTATAAGGTTAAACAATTTCAGTGATTTTGTTGGCTGTTTTTACCTCAGTTAAAATATATAGTTATATAACTATTGTATGTAACCATGAAACCTATGTAGTTTTTATTTAAGAATTAAGGTGAATTAAGTTGTAAAAAAAAAAAAACAAAAAAAAAACATGCCAAACAAGAAGCACCTTAAAGTTTTATTACCCTCAGTACAGGTGTGTTTTTCAGGTAAAAGAAAATCTTTTTTTTTAAACAAGACTCAGATTTCAAAATTAGATAATTTGACTATCTCGACGTGATAAATCTGATAATCATGTGAGGATGTAAACATCTGTAGACGAAACGCGCTTCTGGCGTATTAAATTATAATCCTGATACCTTTGATAACTATTTACACCACTGGGTCGATGCCACTGCTGGTGGACGTTTCGTCCCCGAGGGTATCACCAGCCCAGTAGTCAGCACTTCGGTGTTGACATGAATATCAATTATACGGTCATTTTTATAAATTTCCTGTTACAAAACTTTGAATTTTTCGAAAAACTTAGGATTTTCTTATCCCAGGAATAGATTACCTTAGCCGTATTTGGCACAACTTTTTGTAATTTTGGGTCCTCAATGCTCTTCCAACTTTGTACTTGTTTGGCTTTATAACTATTTTGATCTGAGCGTCACTGATGAGTCTTATGTAGACGAAACGCGCGTCTGGCGTATTAAATTATAATCCTGGTACCTTTGATAACTATTTACACCACTGGATTGATGCCACTGCTGGTGGACGTTTCGTCCCCGAGGGTATCACCAGCCCAGTAGTCAGCACTTCGGTGTTGACATGAATATCAATTATATGGTCATTTTTATAAATTTCCTGTTACAAAACTTTGAATTTTTCGAAAAACTAAGGATTTTCTTATCCCAGGAATAGATTACCTTAGCCGTATTTGGCACAACTTTTTGGAATTTTGGGTCCTCAATGCTCTTCCAACTTTGTACTTGTTTGGCTTTATAACTATTTTGATCTGAGCGTCACTGATGAGTCTTATGTAGACGAAACGCGCGTCTGGCGTATTTAATTATAATCCTGGTACCTTTGATAACTATTTTATGTATGTTTACTTTATTGTGACTGTTGTCATGTCAGTTACAAAGAAAGTCATTTAAACAGTTAAAATTATAAAAGAAGAGGTTATTTGGTCAAGTATGGTTCAAACTGGTCGAGTATTGTTCAGACCTTTGGTCGAGTATTGTTCAGACTGAAAAAATAGGTCGAGAACTGGTCAAGTATTGGTCGAGTACAGGTCGAGAATGGGTTAAGACTGTTTCAGACTGGTCGAGTAATAGTTTAGACTATTTTCAATGTCAAAGATAAGTGTCAAGTACAAATCAGTACAGTCGAGTATGGTTAAGATTGGGGTCGAGTAATATCGAGTAAAATTCAGACCAATTTAGACTGGTCTAGTAAAAATAAGTACAGTCTAGTACAGTTATAGGCCAGTTCAGACTTTTGAAATTACTTCATTCTTTCCATTCGAAATCAAACTTCTCTGCCGGGTATCCTTAGGTGTCGTGTGATTTTAATGTGGTTTCATAATATTTCCAAAGATCTATCAATTCAAAAAACTGCAGCCAATGAAATAACTATCCACCAAAGAACCATTGACAAGAATGTAAACAAAAAAAAAGTCACAGTATAACCGGCTTAGTTGTCAGTCCTGCAGTACTGATATGAATTATAACGTACCTTTCTGAAATTCTCTGACGGCAACCACTGGACAACAGGCTCCTGAATTTTTGGTTTTATTATATTTAATATAAAATTTACACTGTTGTTGAGATTGGTAAATGTGTAACAGTAAATTCGGTCCGGTAGTAAAATTTGTCCGCCAGACTTTTTTTCCTAGGTAATCAAGTCCGTGACCATAATTTTACTAGGAATGTAAGTCCTTGGATAAATTTCCTAGGAAAATAAGTCCATAGCTAGTAAAATATGTCTGGCACCTTTTTCCTAGGAAATTCTTATATACATCCGTATTCTCATTTTTTCTGTGAAAAGAGTCCCTTTAAATTTTATTCCTTAAGACATTCTTGAATTAATCAATATTGAAAATTAAGAAAGGAACATTTGTAATTATGTACATCATAAAAGTCTGTGATATCAATTTTCCTTGGAAAAAAGTCTGTTTAATTATTAAAAAAACACCCATACTTTAATAAAATAGTGAAATATTAAGGCACAACTGTTAAACAATTTAAAGACATAACAATTAAAAATTCAATTGTTTACATGCAAATTATTTATGTCATTATAAATTGTCTTATTTAAATAAAGGACATGAACGTTTTTAACTAGGAATATTAATGACCTGGACATGCATTCTTAGGAAAATTAGTCTGGGCACATAAATTTTATAAAAAGATTAATGCACAACTGGTAAACAACATAAAAGCATAAGAATTAAAAATTCCATTGTTTACATGTAAATGATTTCTTTTATTACTAATACACATTTTCTAGTAAAATAAAGGGCATGGACGTATTTACCTAGGAATATTGATGACATGGACATAAATTCCTAGGAAAATTAGTTTTGGAACATAAATTACTGACATCGGAATAAATATACTAGTATATTCTGTAACCATGGACTTTTTATACTAGAAATATTTGTCTGCCCGGACACATTTTACCAGGACTAATTTTATCTCTCACAAATGCGGACTCAATTATGAATTAAATTTTTTTTTTGGTTTGTACTTCTTGAGACATGGGACTTTAACATTCATAGTTAACTAACTTTTAATTAGATGCCTTCTAAATATTTCATTTTATTTTCGCAACAATTGTAAAAAGGACAATATTGGCGAGTTTTCTCTTTGATGTTTTCGGGACTGTTGTTAGTTTGTTTGTCGTTGTTTTTTTTTTTAATAATTTTGACATTTCGTTCTCAGTGTTTGTCTTTGACTTTTGAGTTTGAATATCCCTTTGGCATCTCCCGTCTCTCTTTATATACATCTAAAATACTTTCTAAAACAAACATTGTAATACACCAAAACATTTCACTACAGGCAACAATTGTAACATGTTATGATTTTTTTTCAGTATGTCCATATATACCAAATTGCGCATATAGAGATTGTAATCCGCTCGATGGCTCTGAAAATAAATGTTTATATTGCAACTATGAGAATGCACACCAGCGCTACGAAAGAGCATATAAATACAACGCTGCCAGCAATGCATGTCAAAGTATGTATAACTTCGTGTGGAAGCCAAATTAAAAAAATATATACTTCAATCATAGTATTTCTCTTTTGTTTCTAAATTCTGAACAATGCGTTACTAGTATAAGATGTACGATTTTTTATTTTGAAAGATTCTTTAATATCATTTGTGTTTCAATTATCAAAATAGACACATTCTCATCCATTTTAAATGCACAAGTTTGTACACATACCAAACGGTAAAATAATCTTTGCTTATTTTTATAGAAACTTGTTCCTGGAGATCTGACAGTACCAGATGCTTTCCAGGATATTGTTCGGACGAGTACTTTTATACATGTACTTGCACTGAGGGCTTTGACAGTCCAGAAGAACATTGTAGTCGAAGTGAGTAGATTAACTTTACAAATCAGTTCCTTGTTCATTTAAAAAATGTATAAGTATGCCAATGATAATAATGGATCTTCCAACATGCGAATGGCTCTTACTTAACCAGCAAAAGAAATCAAATATAATGTCAGATGTAAGTGACGTTCAGTTGTTTTAGTCAATGTCCCATGACATGCATAAGTAGTGTTGTCAACCGGTTAACCGATTATCTGTCGGAAGGACCGATTATCGAAACACCAAAAATATTAATCGGTTAATCCGAACTTTTTTTCAATTTTATATTATATTTGTTATTGATGTATATTGAATTCAAGAACAATTCTCAAATTTGATATATCATCGTGGTACTTAAAACTAAACCAGCTGTTCAGTTTATTTACAAATAAAGCATTTAAATTTTACTTAATTTATAAGTACAAAGACATTTTGTCTATCAACTAGTGGCAAAATCTAAAGTAGATGGTGCATACAATAAATATACATTGAAGATGTACAGCTGTAAGCTGATCAAAGTTTACGATTGAGATAAACTTTTGAAGATGAGGTATGCTTGCCGATGAGACAACTCTCCACCAGAGACCAACAATTTAATGACATAGACGTTTACAATTATAGGTCAACGTACGGCCTTCAACAAAGCAAAACCCATACCCATAATAATGATTCCATTATCTAACTTTGATTTAATATGATGTGGTCTTGAATTTTAACATGCAAATTATACATATTCACTGAGACTTATATGTCAAATGAAGTTCTAATTTAAAAAAACTTGTGAAAATCATTTAGTGTATACTTATAATACCAGTAACATGCAGGCAGGAACAATACAGAAAACATGCTTCTTCTTTTTTAGCTTGTAATTGTTTATGTTTCTAATATATATCTTGTGTGTAATGTATTAGATGTGACATACAATGATAGATGTAAAAGAAAGATGCTTTTGTATGAAATATATAAATGCAGCATTATCAAGCTCGTTTCGTGTTAAGGTTTCTATTTTGTGTTTTGTATACTGTTGTTTGTCTTTTTTCTCTGTTTCTTTGCCATGGCATTGTCTGTTAGTTTTCGTCTTATGAGCTGATCATCCATTTAGTAGCTTTCGCCTTCCCTTTAATACAGTTGTTTTGTGTTTTGAAAAGAACTTTATTTGAACCTTTTCATGAATTTTGGAAATTAAATGAAGTAATCAAAAACATTTTAACTCAATGGAAATCTGTGTTTCTTACTCGATAAAACCTGGACTCTACTCGACAAACTATGTTAAATTGAATTGATATCAAAATGTCCTTATTAATGTAATACGTTTTTTTTAAAGTGTCTGTAAATATGTAAATAGGTCCAATGTTTCTTCATGCTTTCCCTAACCATAGGGATTTATAGGATGTCTAATCCGCGCTGCATTACCTATGCAAAATATAGCATATTTTATTTATGTATATAAGTATATGGTAAATAAGTATATTGATAAGTCTTTCATATTGAAATACAACTGTAAATTAATTTGAATTATTATACTGTGCTTTATTCTTAAATGCAGTTGTCAGGCTATCAACATTCGCACCCTAATGTTCATAATGTGTCTGTTATCTTCAGTTTAAAAACTGCATGTAATCATGCGGGTGACGTTTGAGATATTTGATTGGATATTTGCGTTTTTTTTTAAAATGGACATTTTCGCTTTAATGTTTAGGACATTTGAGCTTTACCAACATTTTTTTTTATGAAGTTTACGGATAGCTATTCAATGATACTCTTCAAAAGACAAAAATTTGCTGGACGAGGTGATACAATTGTTCATTATAGAGGTCATGAATTTATCGTGGGCAATTTGTTGTTCGTTTGCTGTGTGATTGATGCTCAGTCTATAATATTGGTAGAAATCGAGAGTCAACGGCTATGTATTTTTTTGTAAGATAAACTGCTTATAGGAATATCTAAGTTCAACCATCTTATCATCAACAAAAGAATCTTCAACATAGCAATTTAGAAGTAATGATAGCCCGAAAAAAAACTTATAAAGCCATTTTCCTACTTTTCATGTTCACTATTTGTATCCCTAGAGAGCCTTACTGAATCTTTCGCCACTATGATTGTGTCAGATGAAAATGACATTTCAAGAGAGCGGAAAGTAATATATTCTATATAACAACCATGCCTCCTTATTCAAAGTAAACATGAACAGCCTTGTTTTAAAACCAATTTTTGTCTCAACAATTTGAAAGCATACACAAACAATGTTAATGCTGTTTACATAAAAAAAGTGCAAATGTGAGGTGAAGTTTGTCTGTATAGGTTTGTCAATATTTAAAGTGCAAATATCCTTTCCTGTTTCAGGTTATAAAAAAGGGGCAAACGTTTTGCGCCCATGTTATCATCAGATTCGTACTCAACTTTACCTCAACTCATTTATAACTTTACATAATCAGAGGTTGTTGTTTCAAATCCAATTTTTATACGCAATATAGTCAAGTGTCCATAATCATGAATATTGCAAAACAAAATCGTTCCCAACCAGTGACTACTTTTGATATCAATGGTTAACGTTATTGTTTAAAAAAAACAACTTTGCGTTCAAAAAATCAATCAATATGAGTAATATCTTCCATCAATAATCTGTGAAGGGAAAAGATAACGTCGAACTTTAAGACCTCCCATTTCTGTAACCGACGCTTAACTTTTGCGTCCATTATCTTTATTAACAAAGTATAAAAAAAATGAATAACGAAGACCTTATATCTTAACCCATTAAATGCTTTTGCTCATCGTTAGTATACAAATATAATGATTTCTTGCATCTAATCCAAAATGATAATCTTTGTTAAATTTTGACATAAGTCCAAAATATTGCATACAACAGCCCATTTAAAAAGAACAGGAAACACGAGCCAAACGAACCGTACATTTGTCATGAATGAATCAATGTATTTTCGAAATTCATGCAAAAACGAATCTATAGACGAAAAGTTGCTATAAGGACAGGATTACGATCCTTTTTTTTATCAATAGGTCGTTTATATTGTAACACCTTGTAGGATGTACATTTGGTTTCCTAACAACTTATATAAGATATAATATTCAACGACATCAAGTAAGATGAAACAAACACGTTTAGAACAACAACAATTTTCCAAAAATTGCATTGCTGTTGCAATTTAAAAAAAAAACAAAACAAATACAGCACAAATACCAGTAATAGTTTATGTCGGGAAGATTAATAACAAAACCGAGTATTTTGAACTATATACTAGATATCTACATAACACATGAATGAGTAAAAGGTACGTTACACACGATTGTCTTCTAGATGTGCTACTTTTTGTATTTACTAGTACCTAACAATTCTTTACCGCCACAGAAAGATATAATAAATGTTGTATACAAGTTACCATTTTGTACATTGTACAAAAAAATTGTACAAATCATAATTTGTATTTTGACTTTGTACGAAGACCGTGTATATTTACGCCATACATTTTTCATTTTAAGCTGAAATAATAGATTTTGCAAAATACGCTACAAATTTTAAAGTTAATTGGTTTGATAAATGTAACAAAAATCTGTTGAAGTCACTTCTGAATAATCATTTTCGTTATGAGATTTTAAATTTGTAATTTTCATGAAATTACATTATTTGATTTCACGAGGATAATATAAAAAGTAATAATAAGTTTGTCTTAAGACCGTGTATATTTACGCCATACATTTTTCATTTTAAGCTGAAATAATAGATTTTGCAAAATACGCTACAAATTTTAAAGTTAATTGGTTTGATAAATGTAACAAAAATCTGTTGAAGTCACTTCTGAATAATCATTTTTGTTATGAGATTTTAAATTTGTAATTTTCATGAAATTACATTATTTGATTTCACGAGGATAATATAAAAAGTAATAATAAGTTTGTCTTAAAAAGATTTCATCTTATCAACAGTTTGAATAAATTAAAACATTCGAATTTGATTGCTTTAGAAAAAAACAAATTTCAATCTCCTTCTAAAGAACAAAATATTGAAATTGCTAACCTTCAGCACTTTTCAATTTGCCTTAAAAATTTGAAAAATGAAAAATGCTCCAACGTGGAGCATTTTTCAATTTGCCTTTAAATTGAAAAATGAAAAATGCTCCAATGTGGAGCATTTTTCAATTTGCCTTTAAATATTGAAAAATGAAAAATGTCCCGTATTGGTTGAATTTTCGTCTAAAGAAAATTTTCTCAAATATGAAAATGTTTTTGTGTGGAGCATTTTCAATTTTTGTAATCGTTTGACAAAATGAAAAATGCTCCAAAGAGGAGCATTTTTCATTTTTCAAATTTATCAAAGATATTGAAAAATAGATAATCAAATAATTTTTTCATTCATTGTTAACACTTTAGAAGTTTTGTTTTTATGCTTTAAATATAATACACATGTGTGTATGTGTGAACCTGTATATACACATTTATTACCTTACCCCGATAAGATAGAACAACAACGCACCAGCAAAATTATTTGATGTGGCGCAGGATTATTATGCAATTGTTATTTCCCTTGTTCAAAACCATGAATTTTATATTTCCCTATTTTGTTATTTACATTCAGGTTAACTAAATATTCTCTATATATCTATTAAATTAAATAGATATTGATATCTTGAATTCATTGAGAAAGATATTTATTTTTACTCTCAAGTTTAGTATTTGCATCGTTGCAAAACATTTGTAAACTTCTTTTAAAAGTTAATGTACATTGAATATAAGATCTGAGCAATTGCCCTGAGTGTACATCTAAGCATAATTGTGTCTGCTCTTAAAAACACGTATTTGTTGTGTCTACCCAAAGGATTATGCATAGCAGAAAGCAAAAACAATGTGCCCTGAGCCCCCAATGACTAAATAAAATACTCGAAGCCGAGAGAGCTGACGTGAATGTAAAGTAAATAAAAAAATATTGAAACAGGAAATTTTATTAACATAAAATTTCGTACTTTCATGCACTGGCTACGGGTTTGGTGATA